TTTTCAGAGCTAGTGGAAATTAATTCTGTTTATGAGGATCTGCTCATTGCCTGTTGCAAAGTGAGATTCTCACCTGCAAAGGCTTTTTTGCATGCCTAAATGCATATGAACTACTTTGTGTGCTTCAACAGGAATGCCCTCAATGTGTAGGGTAGATGTGCACCAGCCTTTGCCAGAGTCTGCCTTGTTGACAAGGATAAACACGAGGAGACATACAGAAATTGCCAATTTTGTTCACAGGCAAGTTTCAAAGCTAGCAAAAGTTAATGAAAACCTTCTAGTAGTTTTGTAACAGGCTCTTTTTGAGGTGAAAATGCACCACATTAATTATTTTCAGCAGAAATGGGTTTTTGGTGCCATCCAATCACAGCTATGACACCAGCAGCCCTTCTGCAGGAGAGTGACAGCTGAGTCACTAATGCTAAAACAGGGATAAGAAAAGGAAAATGAAAAAGAAACTAGGCTACTTCCCCTGAGGAGCTAAATACAGTATTTAATGGCATATTTTTATAAGGTTAACAAATCAAATGCTTCAGCTGTGAATTGTTGCCATCATCATAACTACAACAGGATGACCCCAAACACCCTATCTCCATCTAGGTTTTTTTCCTCCTGTGACACATAAATAACTGGGAGCAGCCCGGTCTTTCACCACACTCTGGTCTTGGGGAGACTCAGGACACAAGGACCCGGCAGGACAAACAGCGATGCTGTCAGCGCGGGGGGAAGGCGGCAGGAGGGAGCAGCTGGGTGCTGGTCCTTCCCTGCATCTGCAGCAGCTGCCACCTCCATCAGCTGCTGCCCCCGTGGCACTCTGCCTGCACGAGCTGGAACAGGCAGCACTTGGGCTCCTCTTGTTTAACTCACACTGAAGAGTTGTGTCCCCTCCCTGCCCCACTGCCCTTAAATAAGTGTGTCAAAAGCAATTAAAGTCAGGATGGCAAGAAACCTTAAGGCTCTGTGTACAGAGGAGCATCTTTTTACCAACACCACAGAAGTGTTGGCCACTTTGGACTCCATGTCTCAAGCTGCATTTTAATAAGTTGCATTTTAGTGAAGTAGCTAAGAAATATATGCATACTCTAGAAAACATCTGTTCAGCAGAAAAGTAAGGACTGAAGCTAATTCTCCACAAAATCAAGTGACAAGGCCTTCTGTGTTAAGAGACCCTATATACAGTCATAAGGTTTTAGAGCACAACAGGATGAAATGTTTGCTTGCTTACCCAAGGTCATGTTTGCCAGCAATAGCCCAGGATCAGGGCTGCACCAGCAGAGCTGCTTTTGCACCTTCAGGCCCCAACAAATGGTTCCCACCGCAAGAGCCAACAATGTAATCACAAATGCAACATGATCATGGGGTGGTTCAGAACACTGCCTCCTGATCTGACAGCCAAACACGGGAGTGCACAAGATACTGGCATGCAGGGAACTGGGCCACCTGGGCAGATAAATCCTGGCAAGATTTATCATGTGCTAACCTTCCTTCTTGAGGGCAATGCCAGGGAGTGCACATTGGACACTGCAGTTATATATTCTTTTTAGAGAGGCACCTTCTCTGAGTCCTAGAGGCTAGCCAAACCCAGCCACGCTTGCCAAACACACAAAATTTCTATTTAATTAATCCCATGCATGTCTCCAGCAGACTCCCTGTTGAGCTGGCTTAAAGCACCCCATCCACGCCTTATCACAAACTCTGACCGTGTTTTTATGGCTACTTTAAGCATAATTCAAGCATGATGCCAAATAGCAAATAAGTCGCTGTTCGTGCAGAATGTCTGGCTGACCTCTGCAGGACTCTTCACATGAGAAAAAGTTTGCAGGATTAGGACCAAAGCCTGGAAGCAGGGTCATCTCTTCCCTCTGCCCACACCCCCTCTCCCTTGGCTCCAGTATCCAGTACATGCTGTCCTCTTCATTACTTCAACACAGTCCTTAAGGCCTTAGACCTCAATGAAGAAAATGAGCAAGCTCTGTGATTCAGGGTATTTAAAAGTGGAAAAAAAGGGCAACTGTTAGGCAGAATCTGCTAGGAGGAGGAGGAGGAATCGGCAGAGTGCCAAGAGACAAGAGTCCACAGTCTTCAAATTTCAAAGGTTTTCAGGATAGAAGACCTCAAGATACTTTCACAAACTAGTCTGAACAAGTCGCAGTTTGGGCTGTTTTTTTCCTCCTCTCCTTTTTTCCACCTGGATAACTTTGGATTTTTTCACTTGGTGAAAGACAAAACAACTTTAATAACTTCAAATAACTTTACTCCCCCGTGGCACTTACATGTCAATTAGTTCTGGATTGCTGCTATATACAGGGACAGTGTACATGCTTGGGAAAGAGTCCCTGGGAATTGTGACACCATGAAATGCCTCGGTGCTTCAACCCTACCCCATCATTCTGGTACACCAGCCAGTGAACACAGAGTGCTTTCTTCTGCCGTGCCCCTCTCTGTCCCCCACTCCATCCAGGGAATTAGGACATTGCTGGAACTCAGCACAATGCTATTTGCAGCCACGCATGTTTGAAATAAAACATGAAGTCCAGGATTGTACCTCAGGCTGCCTGAGATTCAGGCCCCTTCTGCTGCCCAAAACCACAAAGACAGTGTTTGCATGTTTAGATAACAACTATAGCAAAATGAAGACTAAAACTGTAAGCAACTCCTTTTAAATGCAGACAGGGCAGAGAGTGACTGCCAAGACGCACTGGCACTAACCAGATGGAGCCTTACGAACATTTGACTTGTTTTACTCCCAGGTTTCCACCCTGAGTCCCACGTGCATGAAGTCATCTGGGGACACAGTTGGGTTTGTTATCAAAGATCTCCTGGACCCCCATGTGTCAAATGACAATGAGCTCGGCTCTTCTGGTGAGGTATTTTTAACTTCAGGAAGTACTTAAAGAAAAGCTGGGGGAGGAGTCCCATGAGCCAAGTATTCAGGGAAGTCACTGAGAAAAAGAAGAAAAATGTCTGGGAAACGTGATGGTGTCACGCCATTGTCCTGTCAGATGGATTTTTGGACATTGCCACGCATGCTGCAGCAAGGTTTCCACCCCACAGCCCAAGCACTGCAATACAGCACCTAATGGGTTAAATCACATCAGTCCTCCAGATTTGCAGTGGTTGATAGAAATGGTTTTCTTCAGGAACAGGAAAAATCCCAAGCATCCTACAGGACACGATGCATGCTTCTCCATGACCATCCCAACACATAAGGGTAAAATGAAAAGCCTGGAACAGACGTCAGCAGCTCCCAGAGGCCTGACAAGCAGTGGAAAGGAGAGCTTTCCAGCACCAAGAAAAGGCTGGGAGTATCACCTTCCCCTGGGTACATAGCAACAGTTGCTAGTTTTGGCAGGCAGCGAGATGCAGTGCAAGACGTGAGGGTGACATCATTTGATTATCACCTCGCTTCCCTCAGATTCAATTGGATTCCAATAAGAAATTATTTTTAGAATCACTACAGACAAAAGCCTTGAAAACTAATTTATTACAGATTTGGGTAGAGGAGGCTGGGGACTATATTAATAGCAGACAAAGCCTTAAAAAGACCCAAGTATTTGGAACCCAAAACCACAGCAGGAATAGCATGTACATATTAATAGCAAAGGTAATTAACCTTCTAAAAAACACACTTGAAGATGAAGTGGATTCTCCATTGCCTTAAGCTTTTGCATTTAAGGCTGGATATTCTTCCAAAAAGTGGGATGAAGCTGAAACTGAATTTGGGATCTGTTGTTGAAAGATCTGATGGAAGCTCTGATACTTTTACTCAGAAGTCCTGCCCTTAAAAAAATCTAAAAGCCTGCTTGTTGCTTGTGCTTGGGAAGTTAAGTCCTAAGTTTGCTGACACAGGCATTTGCAGTTTCAAAGAAAATTAAGAATTACCAGAAGATATAATGACATATGAAGTTAACTCTCCAGAGAAAGCAGTACAGGGGAAAAAAAGTAAAAGCTCTCCAAAATGTTAAGCCTGAGATTCATTGCTTTTGCCGTGGACACAAGAAATGAATAACATCATTTCTTGTTACTCCATGACACTGAGAGCTTGAAAGTAATTGATCTTGCCTCCAATTTCAAGTTAGCCAAGGTGTCTGTTTAGGAGAAGAGGATCACATGACAGGCTGGACCTTCTGAAGGAGACCTTTCCCTGAAGTGGTAGCAGCTCTCTGGAAATAAATAACTACAGGGATTCCCAGGCAGTTGTGGAATTGTCAGCAGCAGTCCACTGCTTTGCGGTGCACAGCACTTCTTCTTTATGTTTATGCAACTACAGGTATTAGTATTTACAGCAAGCAGCTTCTTTTTACATCCCTTACTTTGAATATTTGATATCCTATATGAATTTTAATGGACTGTTGTACTGTCTTCTGTTTTTTTAGCTTGTCATTTAGTATGCTTGTACAGTGACAGACTAACAAACTACTGAGTGATGTGAGGAACCATGTAGAATGCCACAGCAACTTGTTTTGTAAAATAACAGGGCAGAGCTTTCTCTACTTTTATAGCAAAGACACAGTCTCTGCTCTGCTTGCCCCAAACAACAGGGAGAAAAAGTCTTTTGAGCAAGAAGGAAGGAAAACTAAAAAGCAGAACAGAAGTGAAACTGCACTGTCAGGTTTTCACTGTGCTAGAGCCCTTGCAATCAAAGCCAGGAAGGCTACCCAGTGAAGGGCCCTGGGCTATCACATCATCCCCACTGCAAAACTTCTGACTGACGTAAGCAATTGACTTGCCTGCTAATTTGATTTCTACAACTCACTGCATCGGGACGTGACTGATAAGAGCTGAGGAGGAATTCCCACAGATGGGGGCTTTGCAGGGCCTTGCACACCGTGCAGCACGGCCGACTCCACCCATTGCTCTCTGCACATGCCACTGTCGCCCACAAATCTGAGGCAGACACACACCACTCTATCAGCAGGACCATATGTGTCTGCAGAGATAGCAAAAGCCAGAGACTGCCATAATTTAGCCAAATAAACAACTTCACATACAAGAAATGACATGTGGCAGAAGAGATCCAGGAAAGGACACGGTTTAAGCCTCCTAAATTCAGAGGCTTTTTGCTTCAAATAAGAGAGCAGAGGCAAGAGGCAACCCAATAGCCACAGATTTCTCTGCAACACCAATTTCTATTAGGGAGAAGTCAAGAAGGAACCATACCCAAACTATACTCAAAGCAGAGAATACAGACTTCTTCAAAATTGATGCATCTAAATTAAGGATTTTTTGTGTGTGAAAGGCCTTGGATAAATTTTTGGGTAAGAATGGGGAAATAGATAGGAAAATCAGACCACCAAGTAACAGGAGTAATGTGAAAATATTTGGTGGGGTAAAGTGGGCAATAAATTATGAACCATCTGGCCCATAGAGATTTATGAGAGACTGTCTGCCAGCGAGGCCAAGCAACTCCTTTTTTTGGAGTGTGATAGGAGAGGAAGCACAAGGGCAAAGACTGAGACTCTTGTCCACTGGAAAAGTAGATTTATAAAAACCCTCAGAGAAGGCAGGAGAGACTTCAAAGTAGACTGCAAAAGCTCAGGCCTCCTGGAGCTACATGCCTTAAGCTGAAGGCTGTGCCCATAACGGCCTCGAACAAAAGATGCAGCACTGCTGCTGGAGGGCTGGGAGGTGCCTGACCTTATCTGCCCAAGTCTCACTGCACCCTCCTTCTCAAGGGCCTGCAAGGATTTACTGCTTCCCCTGGGGTATGCAGGGGTCATAGAATCACAGAATCCTTAAGGCTGGAAAAGACCTAAGATCATGAAGTCCAACCACTAACCTAAACCCAACGTGTTCAGCTCTAAACCATGTCCCTAAGTGCCACATCCACACATTTTTTAAATGCTTCCAGGGATGGTGATTCCACCACATTCCTGGGCAGCCTGACCAACCTTTCAGTGAACAAAAAGGGTCAGTGTAACACAGAGTATCAAGCTGCAACAGACACACTCTCCAGTGTGGCTGCATCCTTTCTCCCTGTCCAAAAGTGCCCACTGAGACTCTGTGACCACAGCTCTGAGGAGCAGCACTCAGAGACCTCGAGTCCTGTTGGCTGCTGATGACAGTGAACCCATGAAAAAGCTTTCTCAAATCAAGATATGATTTACTAGTAACAGAAGGTAGATAGCATAAATGCTTTGTAAAACAGACTCAAAAGAGGGTAATTGTCCCTCCTAGCTTGGTCCTATGCCAATACAGGTTCCAGGAGCTGCTGAGAAGTTGAGATTCCCATGAACTTACAAGCAAGGTGTCTGATCCTAGTGAGTGGCTCTCCAACAACTGCCTACTTTCTGCCTGAAGAGTTTTTTTAACTCTTCGCAGTTCCTTTGATCTGTTCCTCCTTAACATTGGCAAAAAAACCTGAAGCTGAGGAGGTAGCATATTCCCAGTTAATAGCTTCAGCATTGTATCTTAATCCCTCCTGAGGCACCTTCCTAAAGTTATGTTACCAGCACCTGCTGTCTTGCTTGCCTGGTTGTTTTTAAAACCACTTTGATACCAAACCAACAATATGCACATCCCTGAAGCAGCCATCCCAGTACTGGGGCATACACCCTCTCCATCCCCAGCTGGAGATGCACGCCATGCTGGGGATAGAGGGCAAGGAAGAGAGGGACAAGCCCTATGGCACACCTGGATGTCCAAGCTGGGAGCTGAGGCTACTGAGGCATCCTGACACATTTCAGGCTTCATTCAAATGCCCCAGAACAGCCCTGTTGCTCATGTGAGGCACAGGACATCTCAAGCTTGACCATAGTGATTTTTCTCCTCTTCCCTCTTTCTGAAGATATTTTTTCTTTGAGTTTCTTCCTTTTCATTGCTGGGATTACAATGTCTGTGGAAGCTGTTCTCATCATTGCATACCCAGAGAAACAAACCAAATCATAATAATAGCATATGAAAAAGCAGAAATTTATCTCAAGACCATGGTGTTTCCATTAAGGTGACTGGAGGAAAACACTTATGCCCCAAAAGACGGGGAAGGCAGGCAGGCAGAAAGGTATGGGAAAAGGAATTAGTAATTGAAACAACATGATAATTCATCTCTACCAACAAAAAGGTGCTATAGACTTTCTTCATGCCCTTCTCAAATAAATAACTTGTAACAAACAATAAAGGTTTGTCTAACAATAAAACAGACAATGCACTTAATATCTGTAATTTCAGCCTCAGAGAATAAACTATTTAATCCTTCATTTTTAAAATTTCTTTTACTTCTAAAAAAGATCACTAGCTCCTCACTCTGGTGCTTCCACAGCAATGTAGCAGGCATCAAATGATGAGATAAGAAACTGATAAATTTCAGTCCAAAGGAAAAATGTCTACCCTGATTCAGAGGAGAAACTTTCCTATTCAGCTCCCTCTTGAGAAAAGCTGGCATAAATAAGTACAGTGCTTTCCTACCTTCCTTATTTAGGAAAAAAACACCATCACCACCATGTGATACAGTCTCAAGACCACAGCTTTCTAGAAAGAAAGGTCAAGTGAAACAGTTCTTCCTAAAGAGCTTTCCTGACTGCAAAAACAGGATCTCACCAAGCAATGAGCAGCAGGACAAGTGCCTTAAATCGCACATCACAGTTGCTTCTCCATCCTCCATGATGCCAGCATGGACAGCAAAGGAGTGGGGAGGTGGGGAGGAAATACAGGGATGCTGTCACAGTTTTTACATTGACCATACTTTTGCCTGACAGGTCCTGTAGAAGGCAAGGCCACCTGGCCACCAACAACAGCTGGGCGTTGGACCAGGCCAAACAGAAGCCCTCTCTCTATCTCCATTCCACTGAGGTGGAGGCATGGCCAGGTAGAAGAGAAGGCAGGAAGCAGTGATCAACTGGAAAACTACCATGAACAAAACCCCAAGTACTACCACAAAAACATGAAAACCCAGGGCAAAAAATCCTAAGAAAATACTGTAATAGGTTACCTTTATGTGAATGAGTCTTCACGCTGGCCTAGACTGAGTCACTCTGGGAACTGCCTCGCGGTCCATCTGGCTGCCAACTCCTGGCTAAACCTGAACATCCTGTGACTGAAATGGATGCATCAAAGCCTAAGGCACCGCAAGGTAACAAGGTTTTCTTTGTCCACCACTTCCAGATGCACCAGCATTCCCCTTCTGCTAACTCTCACATATCCTCTGGGTCTGTGTTTGGTATATTTCTGACTTTCAGTGGCTGTAAAGAAAGGGCAGACTGGAACTTTAGTCTCTCACCCTAATTTCATAGACCTCCTCAATCCATCTCTGGCCATGTATCAGTGACAGTATAGGTCTGGATGTAAAACTGTTTACAATTTTTTATTGCTCTGGACATAAAATTTTGCTACTACCTGTGTAAACAACTTTCAAATACTGGAGGATGCAGTTGCTGCAGATGGATGTAGGCATAGAAACCATTCTGACATGATCATAGAGAAAGTGAGACTGCACTGCTGGATACTGCACTTCCACAGTCTTTCAACCCACTTACAGTTGTAGTGGAAGGGGGAAGGAAAAAAAATATTAAAAAAGTATTCCTTACATTCCCAGCTTTCCTCCCCAAATCAGGAACACACTCCTATCTCTTAGGTGGCAATATAAACTTAAATAATCTTGCCTGCCCTCACTAAAACTATTTTTAAACCAGTAGTCAGGTACAAAACAGATGTCCCAGCTAATGCAATGTGTATTACTCAGTGATGATAAACACTATACACCCACCTAGACTTTTCACTTGATGTGGTTGGAAACTGCTATGTAAGGTGGAAAAAGTAAGGCAGGCTGCTTTATTTTTGGCATTTACTTTAGAGTTTAGGCTTACTGCAAGAGTACATTTACTCTGGCTCCGTGTACTGCTTCCAGCCATCTGTGTAAAGATATTTAGTGGCTATTTTTTTGTCAGAAAGAAAGAGGTACCACCCCCCACCTCCCTTGTGTCTCCTACTCCACCACACTGCCAGGCTGCAAGAAGGGAGCGTGCCGGGAGGGGACCTTCTCCTCGTCCGACAGAGCAGAGCTCAGCAAGGTAAAGCTCTGTCTAGCCAACAAAGCTCTTTACCACGAATATCCTTATTAAACACAGCCTTATCAGAGACCAGTTTCTGCAGTCTGAAGCAGTCAGGAATTAACTCTGTCAATATAAAATTTCAAGCCAGGATTAGAGCCCAGACCCAAGGGGATGTGAGCAAGTGTTCAAGCCACAACAGAGTCACCTGCCCATGCTCACACCATGTCAGGGGGCTGCCCAAGGGGCCAGGGCTCAGACTCTGCACCCACCACCCTGGTGCTACCCCAGCCGCCCAAAGGGCTCACTGCCCAGGCTGCTGCAGCAGGGCCAGGGGGATGCTGAAACTTGTCTGTCTAGCAGGATGGAAGGGAAAGGCTCTGCCAGTACTTCCAAAAGAGGACAGGCTGGTACAGCAGCATCACCTGTGTGAAGAGGGCATGAAAAGCTAGCCTGGAAGGGGCAGACAGCACTCCACAAGTGTAGCCCAGGACTGTCAGCATGGGAGGTTCACCAGCACCTCCCAAAAGGGTGCCACCACCCAGCAAGGTGCACGGCCAAGATACAAACTCATTCAGTATGCTCCTTTGTCAGCCTCTGGCTCTAATCCCCACCCACAGGATCAGGCTGTGTCTCCTGCCTTATCCACAAGACAAAGCTGTCTATCCCCGACACAGCCCTCAGGGCTGTGGCACCAGTGCTGCTCTGCCTTCGCTCCAGGGCGAGCCTCCTCCCTGGCACAGCACGGCACGGCACGGCCTGCAGAAGGTGTGAGCTCTGCCCCACAACTCCATGAGTCAAGGCCTTAATGGTGACCTCGCTTCTCCTGCTACATATTGAAAGCTGGCAGTGCTATTGATGGGGACTCCATGAAACATGTTTGTAATACCGAGCTAATAAGGCAGCAGTGAGGCTACTGTGCCCTGTCATTAGCAATCCCAGTGAAAGAGCCTACATGCTGCCCTTCCCTACAAAAAAACCTGTCCATCTCCCAGTAAGGCAGAAGTACATTTCAGTGCGTGCCTAAACTACAGTCATTTTTTTTAACTCTTTCCCTGAGCATATTTTACAGCAGCTACTAAACAGTTAAGCGCATTATGGAGTCCAAATATGAACTCGGGGAAAATACTTCCATCGCTTTTGGCACAGAGTAAGTGCAAAAGTTACCTTTCTGCTTGACTAAAAGCCTGAAAAGCAAACAATGCACACAGCATACATTGTTCAAGAAGGGAGTGCAAACAAGCCTAAAAGCAGATTAACTTTGAAGGTGTTGTGCGGGAGCAAAGCAGGCAGCACCTACTGCTCCCAGCCCAGCACCCCAGGCAGCGGGTGCAGAACCCAGCACCAGCTGGGAGCCTGACCATTAATCTCCTCGTCAACACTGGGAAAGACAAAGTTGCACTTCAGAAAACAAGCAGCTATTAAAAGAAATTAAAATTAAAAAAAAAAAAAAGAAAAAAAAGAAAGAGGTACAGTCCTAAGAGCTTTAACGAGACAAGGCCTTCACCCCCAGAGCAAAACAGCACACACTCCTTGTTTTAAGACTTATTAATCCTTTTCTAAACAAAATGAAGACGCTTTCAGCAAGCCAAAACCTTTGGGGAAATTTTTAGTCACCACAGGCAGTAGCACATGCCTTGATTCCTACTCAAGTCTGCAGAAATCAGGTGCCTAACCCATCCACGCCTCTGAAATCCCCTCAGTAACAGCTTAATGCCACAAAAGGGAGAAACAAACGAGTTTTGTCTATAGGCTGCTTCTCAAACAAAGAATACAAATTGCATGTGACATGCTGCTGCACAAGTTTGACTGTATGTGTCTACGTGCAAGTGGAAGGGCTAATGGAGAAGTATGCCAGCTTCAGAAGGGCATATTGCTGCCAGTCATTTTTAATAAAAATTAAAAAAATAAAAATATAAATAAATAAATAAATAGCATCCCAGAGATTCTGTATGCCCCATTATGCAAGACCATTGATTTGAGCAACCTGCAATTTGGAAGTAGCATGTACCACTGCCTGCCCATGGCCATGGACCCCATGGGCCACACAGCTCAGCCATCAGAACTGGATTTACCAGGCACAGAGAACCAACAAGACTTCAGCCTACTGTCCTAAGAACTAATCCCAGTCAACCCCAAATCTTCCTCCTTTTCTTTAAAGGAATTTACCTCCGTGTCCCAATGCATCTGTTTAGAGGAGCACAGCAACTCCATGGCTACAGATGTGAAACAGACCTGCTGCCCAGGCCTGCCCCTGGACTGTCCCCCTGGATTTTCTGGAAATGATTAGGTGGTTGCATGAGTGTATCGTTTTCCACCCCTAGCAGCTCCTTTGTCTAGGGAGCTGCCTGCCTACACACAGCTTCACAACCAAGATGTGGGGAAGGCTCATGTTGGGTGGCACTGCTCCAAACAGGGTTTCCAGAGTCCACTTGTCTCTTTTTTAGTCTTCTTCACTCCTCTCTGTGCTCTGCATTGTGCCTCAGTGAGCATGAGACCACCTTGAGAATTCACAGCCATGGCTTCAGATGAAATCAACCAAGCACTGAAAATTCAAGTATTTTTAAAAAAAGTTTTGGTTCATCTTTCAAAAGCAGAGAAAGAGCACAATTCAAAATTTAGATCTCATCTTCCTATGCAGGATGCCTGGACTCAGGTAGGGACCCAAGTCAGGCACCTATGAATTCAAGTTCTCTCCTGGACCTGCTTCCAAAAGGTTCTTATGCTCTTCACAGCACAGCAACTGAACCATCATCCCCCACCCCCACCCCACCCTTCATCTTCTGCAAATCTCCCTGGGTGATAAACAGTGAAGTTTGTAAACACTGGCATTTTGATGTGGATTTTCAGTTCAAAAATATTCAAAGCGACGCACATTTGGCAGTACTGGAGAAATTATGTGCAGAAGGTTCCATCCTCACACTGAGCATCTGGGGAGAAACATCCAGGAAGGTGTTGGGTGTGCTAATGTGAAATCAGTTTGTAAGGGCCAGCACCTCCCTCACTTGTTAGCATTTAAAAGAGGCCACGGCTTTCAGAGGGACCCAAGACAGACTCATAGAATTTCAATTAGTGTTCTAAATCAAGGCTCTTCTAAAATCAAACCCAGTGCTTACACCTATAATCATACCTAGGTTTTGAAATACCTTTCTCCTTTTGTATGTGTGCAAGTCTTTATTGGGGAAAATCTTTTATGTGGATGGTTAACTACAATACTTAAGTATTTCTTGAAGTAAGTAGAACTTAAGCTCATTTAGATTTAAGTAGGTGCTTGCCTGCTTGCTTTTCTGAAGGCAGATGAACTTAATTACATGTGTACCTATTCTTCTAAACAAGGGCCCTTCGGACATCTAGCATTACTTTTTACAGGGATTTTTTTTTTAATCAAGATGTTCACACCACACTTCAGAGTTTATAAACTCAGTTATATTTATATCCTTATAATATTCTCAGACTGGGATACGTAAGTACAGAATATACTTACTTGGAATACATTAATTTTCATCTGAAGAAAACTATTTACACATACCCAGTTTCACTACAAATTTAGGCAGCATATTAGCACTAATTGTTGGATATGCTGTTTTACTGTGTAATACACTGATCTTCTAAAACCTTGAATTGTAATGTTTAATAATCTGTCCCTAAACAGGGGTCAAAACTTGGCTTCTCCATATGTTTTGTCTTACTGTATTTGACTTGTTAATTATCTGCCCAAAAGCAGCACTCAAAGGAAAGTAAAATGTAAAGATCCATGTTAAGATAGGCATATTTGGATTCATCTCATTGGAAATCAGTAATGCTAACTTTCACATTCTGCGTAATGCTTAAATGAAAGACAGGCACTAAGTATTTTCCATTGAAATGTGTAGAAGTCCTTGACAGTACCTTGTGTAAGATTTAAAAAAAAAAAGGCACAAGCACAGCCAACACTGAATGACCACTCTCATACTCATCTGTGTCTAACTCCTCAGGAACTTGTACCTTGAACTCGTACAAGCACGCCACTTGTCCAGATGAATGTTGGGAGAGCCCAGGACAGGTCAAGGCAGGGACAGTGACTAAGGTTAGCTCACTGGCTGTACCACACTCTATTAAAATTGCAGCTGCACCAGAGTGGAGGTTTTATGCAGAAAAAGAAGTGGCTCTGCCCTTTTGCACATCTGCGATGCAATGCACTATTAAGCAAAATTAACTGATTATGTAGCAAACATGGCAAAATGAAGCCCTGACTCCTCTGACAGTGCTATCTCCTTTTTAATGAGGCACAGAACAATCTGTTACCAGGGTTAGTGCTGCAGACGGTGTTTATGGTAATGGGTCCCAGCTCATCTATTTTTTTAATAGTTCAGTAGGTACTGCAGATGCCAGAGGTACCATACATTAACTGCTGAGCCTACAGGGGCACAATGTTTGGCCATGTCACTGGATATTAACAAACTTGTGCAAAGGGCCTCCAACAGTTTAATATGTTTAATGACATCTATTCCACTCATCCCAATCTGCTCCTCCAGCTTGCCTCACTAACACTCAGTCCAGTGCATTCACACCTGCGTGGCTTATCCTCCTTCATTACCTGGAACTTTCCTTGCCTCAAGTATGTTGTGCTGGCCATGCCTAACTTACCAGGCTTTTGTAAGCCAAGGAGCAGCTGAAGAACATTGCTAGGAAACCCTACAGGCAACTGCAGAATCAGCTGAACGGAGCACAAAATAGGTCACTTCTGCATTATCAAATGCATTTAGTGCAATTACAATCATCAGAGAAATGAAAAAAATACAGTAAAGAACAGAGAAGGAGGGCAGGCCATCAACAGCAGTGAAGTCCTGTTTCTTCACAAGAGAATGCCATCATCAGGTCACCCTCTCTGGTAAAAGAACAGACTTTAAATTGGACACGGTTTTTATCACATAATTAAAGGCTGCAAGGGGGCATATTTAGGTTTTTCAGTACTGTGATAAACATCAGAAGCAAGAACATGGAATAAAGCATTAAAAAATCTGTAACAGCGGTCTCTGGAAAGGAACCAGATAGGAGCTGCTACCTGTTAAAGAAACCCACTGCCTTTCCACAAAGCCTCCTCATGACTTGTGACTTCTCAGAGGAGCATGTTGCAAAGGGGAAGAATGCACTTTGCAGGGCTTTTAGCCCATGAGATAGAGTAAAAAAGTAGTTTTCTATTCCCAGTTCTTGAGAGCCATGCATCTCTGAAAGACTGTCTCCAGAATTTTCTCCCCAGTTGCCATCAACACCAGCTCTTCTGCCTGGATATCCTGTTTAAAACTCACATCTCGCTTAAAATTTGCTCACAACTAACTTGAATGAACAGGTCTCACAAAAGTGAGGCTGTTCCCCTAAGGAGCCAGGAAGTTTTGTATTTAACATACCCTGACATGTGAATGTCCAGCATTAATGGAGCAGGTTGACACAGGACACAAAGATGACAAGTGCTTTAGTGAGGATCCCTTCCTGCACAGGCTGCACTTCTTCCCCTTGCAGACAGAATCACCCGCAATCCATTACAGCCTTGAGCATCTTCATTATTTGAAATCACAAATGTAATTTAACACCTTTAAAAGTAGTAAGGGCTCATCTTGGAAGTTGGGATTCAAACCATTTTGAGTGACACGGTGTGCCATGATAAGCACAACTCTTGCTGTGTGCTATGCAGACTGACAGGAAAGCATCACAAGGTAGGGGGTATTCCATGTCACCCAAATTTTTTCATGTCAATTATCAAATTATTTCATGGCAGTCAAAATCACTCTCCTCTCTTAGGACACACTCCAGACAGGCCATAAGCACCGCATTTGTCAAGGGAAGAACTGAAAACAAGACACCCGTTTTGTTTGCTGCATGGTTTCTTGTGCAAGGTGAATGCTTCCATCGCCTAAACACACGCGTTTCATAAATGAAAAATACCTAAAGTGAAAATAAAACTATTCTGACTGCTTGGTTGTTCTCCGTACTTCACTTGAGAAATACAGATTGAAAGATTACATACAAGACAGCACTGATGCAGAGGGATTGTGACACCACACCAAACCATAACGAGACTAAATCCTCCATCTCCTCCTAATCCCTCTGAGAATGCAGGATATTTACTTCTATTATCACCATAGCTCCACTTCCCAGCCCTGACTGCTGGTTACTGTAGTACAGTATGTACTCTTCAGAGTTGCTGAGTCAAAGAAAAACCAGCCCAAGTAATTAGAAAACAAACAAACAAAAATAGACTTTTCCTTCTGTCCCTCCCTTCCTCCTTAAATAAAGCAACATCACAGACTGTGAATCACATTGTGGCCATCATATGACCATATCAAAAGCCTTGTATTTGTTATTTCTTTTGCTGTGCACGCAGACAAGATAAAAATGTTTTACTGAGAGCTAGTCATCATAAAGTGCCCACTGAGGCAATCATTTATCTTTGCATGCAAGCGATCTCAAGACGTAGATTGCTGTTTACAGACTACAGATTTTTTGGAGGAGGGAATATTAACTAGGGAGAAGTCATGTCATATGTTTGATCCTAATATTTGTTGGCTTTGGAGCAGCACGGTTGTGTGGGACTTGTTCAATTTTAAAACAGACCTGCTGATACTGAAAGTAAATGTCTCTTCACAAGAAAATCAACAAACAGAATATATTATGTATACATTATGTAATACACTCTCTCTCTTTGTGCCTCAGTTTGGACCTAACACATAAACTGGACCCCTTAAAGCTTCACTTGAACTGAAACTTAAAGTTAACAATGTGTAAGCATGCCAAGCAGTACATGAACAACAGTCACCATTTAAATAACACTAGAAAAACTGGAATCAATTTACAGTAAGTTTTCAAAACCAGCATTTAACACAGCCCTGAAGTCTCTAAGTGACACAAGAATGCCTACTTCCAGGTAGAGCTACGCTGTGGCTGTGTTGAAAGGCATGGGCAGAATGGAAAATGCACTCACTTCAGCCAACCACAGCCACTGTACTTCTCTCTAAAGAAAGCAAATGACTGAATTATCAACTGTAAATGACTTCTGGGTCACAGAAGGAGGTGGAAGGGTTGAAACCTTGAACTACAGCTGCTGATGTCTAGTGTCTTTATCTCCCTGCTCCCTATGGGGTGTAGTTGCTGGTTATCTCAAAGGATGAACAACCTGCCTGCAATGAATTATGCCTGCTTATCTTCCAGACAGGCTATACACCAAGTCATTAAGTCATCTAAGAGTATAACCCCAAGGGAATTACTAAACGAATGTGAAATCCTGTTCTGCTCTTAGCCCTTGTGACAGACTTCTCCCTGCTTCTGGTGCAGGCGCCACAGGGAGCAAGAACGGGACTCGAACATCTCTCACCTGTTGGTGTGGCTACTTGTTTTGTCATTTAATGTTTTCTGCTTCAAAGGCTGCAAAGTAAGGTGATGTCAGAATAGTAACAACAGTCATTTCCTTCAGAGGGGGGAAAACACAGCCCCTCTCTGACCACCAATATTTCCAAACCTCCAATGCACCAGCTGAGACAAGCAGCCAACATGAGACTAGCAGAGAGCTTACGGCTATCATATTTGTGTTGGGATATAATGGATTTTGTCCAGATGAAAGGGTGCACTTCTCCTGAAGAGCAGCACATTTTTTTAATTAAAAGAAATTGATTTAGTGACAGGATTTACAATTGGTTATCTGACAAGCCCACTGACCTTCACACACATATACAAACAACTGAGGCTTGATGCATTCAGAGAAACGAGTTCTCGCTTGAAACCACAAAACATTGAGATCGCTGACTCCTACAGAACCCAAGGAACCCCCTCTAAAGCAGAGTGTATCAAAGCAGACAGGATAAAGATTGATCTGCACAGCAAACCTTTCCAGATAACACTTCATGAAGTCAGGGGGATAAATAATATCTTTAAATAAAGAGAGAAAAGCATGTCTGACAAAGGCTCACCCATGCTTTATTACAGCCTGACAAAGCTTTAGCTCACCATTTGCCTGGGATGCTGTATTTACTGTCCCTATTCCCATTGCTCCTTGTACTGAGCAAGTTGTGCAGTAGTTAAATATTTTCTTTCAGGTATTCTCAGCGCCCACACAAAAGAAAGAGGCTCAGCAGCACCCTTAATGAGACACACTAGCACCTCCAGACTGCACTAAACAGTTTGGCACCCAGCCTCTAAAGCTGTTTTCAAGGGGCTGTTGCTCAGGTTTGTTTTTAGTTTCCTATTATCTGCAGCCCGGCTAATGAACACCCTAGGAAGTGTTTCCTTGAAAGTGGTGGTACAACAGCCTCTGTGTTCCACCCTGGCTGAACAGCAACCCAACCTGAGTTCCCTGCTTCTGGGAAGCAAAATAAGCAGGATCCTCCGTGAAAGAACAAGCCTGTCAGAATGAAAATCTGCACCTTCACAAAAGGGCAATGACAATCTCTAACTTTCTGCCTGGTGATGCCTACAAAATGAGTGAATGATACTCAGCACCATTTCAGGATCCCCTTCTAAATTTAAAATTATAGATTAAAAATAATAATAATTTCTTTAAAGCTCAGTTTTCTTTATTTACAAGCTTTAGTGAATGAAAACCCCTCCTAGCCTGGTCAACCTGATAGGTTTCTCTGAATGCTACAAGATAAAAAATAAAACCTAATTCTTGCTTGAATGTTCCTGGGACAGGGCCAGGATATTTATATCTTTCCAGGGCAAAACTCAAACTAGGCCTTGTGCTGTGCCAAGAAAAGTCCTGCTAGGACAAGGAAAGAGGAAATTGCTCCTGTTTCCATGTGGACATCAGAAAACGTTGTCTGGAAAACAGAAGATGCCACACAGATGGTCAGAGAGCAACCAGACTTCCTTTAGAAAGCTACACACAACACTCCTCCCAAAACTTTTTTTTTTTTTTTTTTTTGGATGATGGCTCAGGCTTGTTGTTCTTCTGTGTGTGTTTTGGTTTGCTTTTTTTTTAATCAGAACCTTCTACATGAATAAAAAGTAATCTAAGTAATCTAAGTTTCTTTTTCAATCAGTACCAGAGACATACTGGGCACCTCCACAAGTGTGATTTTAATCTTATCTTTCTATGCATAGTGGTTTATGTAAGGACTTAGGGTTTTTTCTCTTATATAAAACCTATTTTTTCACACTGTACCTCCAGCCACTGCCATAAATGAGGAATTAAACTACATGATGGTGAGAAGTTTTCACTAATAGACCAGCTCCTAAGCCTGCAAGCAGTCTGCTAAAGGAAAAATAAAAGCAACAGATTTTCAGTTTTAGTGGACAAGGACAGCAAGGGCTCCCTTGTTAGCTTCTATTTATGGTCCCACAGCAGATGACCTGAATCTCCTCCATACTCATCCCCCTCTACAGAGCCTATAGCTTAGATTATTCACTTCTTAATGAAAACACCACCTGCCAGATGGACAAGAGAATAATTACATTACACTTACATTATTAAAATACATACAAGTCCCATTTGCTTTGCACAGAGCAGTGCTATACATCTGGGTCTGTGTACAGTAGAAAGACTTTCAGAAATGGGATTTTCCTTGTTGTATTTTATGGTAATAGAGATCAGCATCTGATTCATGCAATTGCCTGATGCAGATCTACCTGATGTGGGAAAGGCAGCTCTTGGAGTAATAAGCTGCCTTTCCTTATCATCTGAGTTGGCTGGGTTTTGTAGGCCAGGGTTCAACTATTGCATCCACAACAACGCTGGCATTCCCATCTGAAACCCCAAACAGAATGGAGGAGACACCACCAGAACTACACAGAACAGCAGAGCTCTAATGGGAGTCAAACAGAGGTAGGGACCTTATCTGAACTTGATAAAAAAGCTTTGGACTTAAGTCTAGGGGTGAGCAGAAGTTCAAGCCAATTACGCTCCCGTATCCCTAATACCATCCATGGCACCAGCCAACAGCACGTCCTGCCCTGGTGGTGTGTCTCAGGGAGCATTCCCACACCACTGGTAAAAGCATCATTATTAATATTTCTGGGAGCCAGGGGTAGAGAATTAGAAACTAAAATGCCTGAATGGGCAGTGCAGCACATAATAGTTTCATCATTAAAAAGATGGCCACAGAGTGAGTCACTTACTGTATGGCCACAGCTGCATCTGCATTGAACTGAGGAGTGCAGAAAATTGATTTCCCCTCCCGAGAAATGTCCTGAACCTTTAATGGTGTTTATCCAGGAGGGCAAGAAGACCAGGGAATGCTTTCTGCTTGTTGAACCCACTTCTCTATTCCCCCAAGAGAAGCTACATCCTTAACAAAAAAGGCCATGTTTTGTTGAAAACATGTTTTAAAGTTTAACATCCATAAATTGTGCTAACATAGAAATTTCAGTAATACCATTTCTTTCTGCTGTTCCACTACTTCAAATACTACTCAGAAATACTACTCTGGGGCTAATGAGACTTTTCCAGCCTATTCCTACTTTCTTGGCTCTTGTTTCTCAGATGGAGCAGAGCTGTAAAAGACCCTTTGGGGACTTATCAATGCATATTTGCAGACACTCGAAGAAACTACTGGTTGGTTTGGCTGAATACATAAATTCTGCCATTCAGCTCAGTGGTATCAGAAATGCTGGATGGCTGTTGCCCTCACAGGGTGAAACAACAGGAGCACAGTGTTCAGTGCACACTCGGTTCACTGCCTCTGCTACTGGGAAAAACAGTAAAGTTTTTAAATCATCCTTAGAAGGATGATCATGTTTTGGGTAAGTAAATAGGATGGAAGAAGTCCAGAGCTCACACTAAGCAATGCTACAAAAACCTTGTACACAAGCCATCCTGTCTTTCTGGCTGACAACTAAACACATATTTCCTTGAGGGAAGAAAACATCTCGATCAGTTTGCCTGAGACCCGAACTTCAGTCCTAGCCAGACAGCAGTCCTAATTTCACCAGGAGCCAGACTCCAGCCCTGGATGGTTTCCATCAGGATTCCATTAAGCCTGTGCATGTGCAGCTCTCATAATTTGCAAGAGCCATGTGTGTGTTCAAGAGCAGATTTGGATGTTGTGTTTGTTTCTGGCTTCGTGATGGTTCTCATGCCCCTTAAGTAACAGTTTGTTTTCTGGAAACTCAGTAATTTCTTAAATATGTTCACAAGTTTATCGCTCTTATCTGGCAAACAAGATTGAAATTATCAAATGTCTGTAGCTTTTGTTTTTACTTTTGAAGACAAAAGACTGTTTCTCTGAAGGAAGATGTTGGGTAGACTGCATAGTTTCCTGCTCAGGAATCTCTTTCCTTTACCAATACCAATGTCTGCAGAGGTCCTGCCACATACAGCTCCTAGTTTGTCTCCCAGGCTCCACTGAGTCAGTCTAAGGTGTCATAGAACTGGACTAACAACTATTTTATGAAAACAGAAATTACCTCAGAACACAGAATACCCAAAGAAAAGAACAACTTTGCACAAGAAATAGTTCAGGTAGGCTGTGATCCCAAGCAATTCCCATTGTTCTTGGCAAGAGCAGGGTATAGATCTAAATTCCCAAACGCAGCAATGTTTATTGCACTACCTTGGTGATTCACTAAGTACAGGATGTGCCCAATTATTCTGTGTATTTTTCTAATCCTATTTCATAAACTTCAGTTGCACAAGTACAGGAATACATTCTTTCTTGTCCATTAAAATTAATTTAAAGAAAGGCCATCTCACTCGAACAATAAAATCACCAACTGGCTATATGTGTGAGGCTTTTTTGTTTTGTTGTTGTAACCATGGAATCAAAAAACTTGGCTGTTAAGTGCATATATTCTGTGATAAAATCGCTTTATTTTTTGTCTCAACCTGCTGAGAAAACTTTTGCTTTTAACTTAGGATGTTGGGTTTGTTCCAAATCCAAAAATTAAAAACAGCAGTTCTGAAGGACATGGATATCTAAGCCAACAACATTTGACTGTCTAACATAAAAATTAGCAGAATTGTTATTACTAAAAACAAACTATTACATCTTTCCAAGATAAATAAAACTCAGAATTCTGACTATCAGTCCACAAACAAAGCTTCTAATTTAGTTTGTTTGAACGCAACACCATGGATAAAAGAGATACAACTTCAACTTTTGTATTTCTAAGTTAATTTCACTACATTAAGCAAGCTGGCTGTAAACTGAAGCTTTACCTCATTTTCCTTCCAAGATGTCTCATTACAAGTAAATACAAGTCTTTGAATTATCAAGGTGACAACCATGCTCCATTGCTACACATTCAAGATTATTTTATGAATGAAGTGCGGAGTTCACTGCAAAAGTAGCAAAGGCAACAACATGCAAGACAAATGCAGTCAGTGCAAGATCCCCAAGTCCCAGCACAAGGCACATGCAGCGTTTATGAGAACACCAGCAGGCAGGATGTGTCCATTTGGCTGGGATGAAGCAGGTTTCACCTGGAGAGCTCACATCACCCTTCCTGAAGCAGATGGGGCAGCCTGAGGTGCAGCAGTTTCCCATAAGCCACACGGCTCCCTTTGCTACCACAAATGCAAAGGAAACCTGGGTTTCTTAAACCTCCAGCTAGGATCACCCTGGCTGTGTCCACACACGTGGGTGGTCCAAAGCAGTTCTGAAGCAACCCTCCTAGCCATCCCTCCCATTGCAAGATGGCTTTATTCACAAAGTGGCTCTGCTGGGTCAAAATTAAATTATTTTCAGAAAAAAATAAAAAGGAAATTCAGCTCCAGGACATACCAAATGCCTTCACATCGTTGAATTAAGATTGTAGCGTATGAAACAAGTAGTGCTTTGGGCAGATTCAACCCACACATGTAGTGGGGACATTTAGTCCAAAGGACCAGACAAAATCTAGTCCGGAATAAAATGTTCAGTTTGAATATAGTGTAGATACAGGAGCCTCTGTACCTGCTGCTTTCATCTACTCGTTCTCCCCCACTGTGCCACACAGCAGGTAAAGCCCCTGTCTGTCTAGCATGGTGAGCTGACAGGCCAGCCAGTGCCTCTTGCCGTGTGTGCAGGATACACATCCAACATATTTTTCATGGACAGCCAAGTATTGCACTAACAAACCATTTTATGCTCTGAATGTGAGGATGAAGGTACAACCTTCACACTGCAGAACACAAATTCACAAGGCAGATCAGAGTTCTGATCCAGCTTGTATGAGCTCCTCCCTGACAGGACCTGCACATCTGTTGAACCCCATCACAGAAAGTGCCCCAGAAGCAGATGCCCGCTACATCCACACCGCTGCACAAGGCCAAGCAACACCTGAATCACCACTGATGTGAGCCATGAATGAGATCACCCACTCTTCCCAGCAGCACTCAGACAGCTGAGCCCAAGCTGCCCTGAGACACTCGCATCTGGCAAAGCCGTGCCATCCAAACCAGGTCAGCCAGTTTGAAGCAGGCTCACCCCCGCTCCTGGCAGCAGAGGTTTACCTCCAGCAGCTGCCCAGCACTTCAAGGAAATAAATGTCACCTCACCACT